TTTGAAAGTTCTGGTTACCCAACAGCACATGTTGGAGTAGTAAAGAAAATCCATACAATGTCTGCACAATCTTTAACAAAACACATTCTAGTGGTGCATTCACTGATCAGAAAAAGATTTCAAACTGGCTACTCAAGCTGGAAATCATCCGTCATTTTCATTTTGGTTCTCCTAAAAAGTTTGTCTTGTTCACTGTTCGATCATTTTTTCATATTTGCTTGATGCACAGAAATTGTTGACACTGATCATTAGCATGTCTCTTGCTCTGGTCTTGTGGGACATTTTGAACTTAGGAATGTGAATTTAAAAATGGACATGTATCCTTTAGCAGTTATTGTGCAAGCTTTGAGAAATATTTGAAAAAAGCTGCTGCTGTGAACAAATTTCCGAAGTACTGCAACTTGTTCAGTACTTCCTGTGACCTGGGAATGTAAGGCAGCAGATTATGATGTTTTATAATCCTTTAAAGGGACAGGCAGAGGAATATGATCAAATATTTACCATCTGAAAATGTTGCATGAGGTGGCTCATCTGAGCACTTGAGCAGTGCTGCTGGGCAATGATCATCCCCCCACCCATTGCCTTTCAGGCTGAGGTGTTGAACTTTATTTGTTCTCCACAGCAGGAGTCAAATCTGGTCACCGTTGGAATCACGCGGTGGAGGTGGTGCGGTTTGCACTGTGTGTCTGTTCTGGTAATGCAGCTGTGTTTACAAGTGTGTTTCAAAGGTGACCATTGCTTTACGCTCAAATCCCCAATTTTCAAATGTGTGGCATTTAAATTCATTTGCTTTTCTGAGGGGAAAAATTGTAGATCGATTTTACCCCGAAGCAGTCAGTCTGTATTTCTTAGACGAGCTGCTAGTAGTTGTTTTTAGCTGAGTTAACCCAGCAGCAGTCCAATCTGCAGCCAAGATTTTCTATTTTCAAGCACAGCAGTGTCAAACTTTGAGTGTTTAAGCACGCCGAATGAGTGTGATTTAACTGTGACAGTTTTATTAAATACTACAGAGCCTGCTTTCTGAATTCATCTCTGGCTAACACCGATAACGGGCGTTCTGGCTTGTAATAGTTTTTGTAGAGATGCACCGATGAAAGATTTTGTGAAATTTTGCTGAATTATATATTTTTTATAAACTTTTTCAATAAGTTAAATATGCAACATTTTTTTTCTCTTCCATTAAAAACAGGAAAACCAAATAAAATTGTCCTGGTTATGGGACAGTGTGATCTACAAATAAAATCAAACAAAATCATTTACATTTGTCTTTTATTCTTCAACAAGACCAAGTAAATCTCCTTTAAACACACACCTCAAAATGTCCAAACTCACTATCGCCTTCATTTTCAAAATAAAAGGCAACATTATCCATCATTATTTCAGAGGATAAACCTCTGATTTATTGTCTTGTGTGAGATTATTAAATCATTTAGTGTTTCAATCAGATAAGCAAAAAAAAAAAACAATTTTTTTCTGTCTTTCTGAAATTCTGTAATTTAAAAATGAATTTTTAGATTAGTTAGGATTACTAAAATAGTCTTTTTTGTTGTTAAAAGCCATGTATATATTTCTGATGCAATCTTTAAGCTGCTCTGTAAAGTGTCACTTGACACGACCTTCTCACAATAGATTTGTGAGAAGGTTTGTCATTTGTTGTCTATTTAGAAGCCTGACTTGTTTCCAAGCTTTCATTTTTTGGCTGACTCATTGAGATGTTGCTTCAATATTTCCACACATTAATATTTCCTCACTCTGCCATCTGTTTTGTCAAGTGCACCAGTCCCTCCTGCAGCAAAACACACAGCTGGTGTTCTCAGGCTTGTTGGCTTATCCCCTCTAAGTATCTAGTATCTCTTAGTATTATTAGTGTTATTACAATAGTATTCTGTATGAAGTTTGTAGATCTTTATCTTGACTGGTAGACATCTTACTGATACTGAAAATCGCTAACTCTGAATCTTTAACGACGTTCTCGCTGAAGAGGTCTATTGTTGTGTCCTAGTGGGACTTGAGTATGTTGTGTTCACCGTTTTACAAATCACTAATCTGTGCAGTTTAACAATAAAATTCTCAGATTTTTTTTTTCTTTTTACTTTTGTTGCAACTGTATCGCTGTAAACTTAACTGTGGAAAATTCAACTTCTTCCAGTAGGAATTCTTACTACGTGTAATGTTTGAATATTTGCATGATCCAACTGTGATCAGGCACAAGAACAATTTGGTTTGAAAGGGAGAAAAAGTGAGAAAAACTTCAATGCTGTATTGCAAAAGAAAAGTCATTGATTTCCCACAGAAATGTGACCTTAAATAGTTTTTGACAGTTGAATCTCATTCAGAAATGTAACCCGCAGTTCAGTGTGTGCTTAGCTGACTCTTATTTCTGGATGAATGGAGTCTGGAAACAGTTAAATAATAATAAAAAAAACTTATTCAGGATAAAGTCATCAATGCTCAGTAATTTGATCCTTTTTTTAGTTCTTTCCATCTTTGTTTCCTCATGTATCTCATTTTTGATTTTGATGCGACTATGAAATATGTCAAACCTCTCTGGTCCTTCATATTTCCGTAATATTACAGAAAACATTTGGGAAGCCAGAGTGCATGCAGAGCAACGTTTCTTGGCGAACAACCCAGAAACATACTTGAATTTCTTGAAGTGATTTGTTTGTCCCTCAACAGTCCATTTCCACTGAATGCTTGATTATTTGTGCCAATACCTGGAAATAATGCCATTTCTTCAATTCCTTGGCCTCATTTTGTCTGAAGTCGGCATGAAGCGGGATGGTCACTCAACTCATCTAATCTCCAACTCTAGTCCCAGAAATCCCAACCTGTCTTTCCCTCTCACTTCATTTCACAGCCTGGTCAAAGGAGCTTTTGTGTTCAGGGTGTAGTGAATGAATTCAGCCTTTGGTGATAACTGCGTCTTGGCCATGGCTTTCAGCCAAGGTCCTGCTTTTCGATTCCCCTTTGATATACCGGTCACAGTTCCACTTCCTATTTGGTTTTCTGAGAGAAGTGTCTAAATAGAGTCGAATCAATGGCGGCCATTGTTTGGTGGGATAATAAGCTGAAGACGCTTTAAGGTGGACGTTCGTTGTGCCTGGAAAACGAAACGAAACCATTCATCTGACTGACTCTAAATAACGTAGCAATCAATAGACTTTTAATGTGTTCTACAACGTAACGTCTTGTCTCTTGCCATGGACATGCAAATGAAATTCACTCCCCTTTTGAGACACCTTGCCGTCCGAGTTGATGCTGGTCAAGATCTCTTTGTGTGAGAAAATGATGGTTTTCCTACACGGACGGCGCTGCTGTTTGTTGCACGCCGGTGTGAATGTGACGCTCTGCCGTTTGAGAGAGGATGTCCACACCCATGATTTATCACCATTGTCACAGAGCGTGGCGGCAGAGGGAGCTTTCCCTCCACATCACCACACGTCTATTTTTACCTTATTACTTACCAGAGACGACGTGATTTGGAGACTAAATGGAAGATTGAGAAGCATGAAAAGAAGGGAGAGGATGAAATAGATGACACTGTCTGGATGGTTTTATTCATACCGTTTCTTATTATAAAAAAAAAAGTGTGGAAATCTGCTCAAATTTTGCCAATATATGTTGAAAATCGATGCAAAAACTGACCGAGGATTATTTAAAAGAAAAGCCTTCTCTGTCGTTGCCACACTGCTCGACTTTCAGCAGCCATTTAAGGGACTGCGTGAATCTCACAGGCTGCGTGCCAAATCAAACACACGTTCACACAATTCCCCCCAAACATACGTCAGGATCTCACTAGGTGTTACCAACGTACCTCACACTCTCTCCCCCTGTGTGAAAGAACATCGGCACACAGCAGGAGCTTCTCAGTTTTATTTTCTTTGTTTGGTGTATAGCGGAAACTCCTTCTTTTTTGAGGTCACTTGCAGATCTGCCTCTCTTTTTTCATTGGTTTTCCTGTACAAGCAATATAAACATTGTACTCCATAATTTTGCATCCTTTTCTAGGTGCTGTGTTCAGCATTGGTCATGTTTTATCTTATTTGTGGCGTGAAAATGTATAATTTTGTTGTTACTGGACGCCTCGGAGAATCGAGTTGAAAATGTTGGAAAGCAATGATGGGGAAGAAAAACATACAAATTTTCTTTAAGAATTAAAATATATAAAGTCATAACAGCAAAGTGCTTTTTTCTCAAGTGGTCTTAATTTGATTGGTCATTAATTAAGAATTGAGGCCTACACCAAGAAAATGAGAAAAAAAAAACTATTTCAGAAACCAAGATTTAAGTAGATGACAGAATTTACGTTTTGGCATTCCTTTAGGATTTTCTTTTTAGGATTTAAACACCAAGCGCGGGCAGCATAACTAAAATGGCAATCTTTGTATTTTTTCCCTAGAGAAATTCATATTCCATGATCAATACTGCGATTAATCAATATCATACATAAGCACAAGTATTGCAAAGTTCCTTGCAAATATTTCTAAATAAGCAGCACAAAATCTGTGGTTTTGATTAAAAACCGTTGTGAAGTCCTGAAGGGACTGATCAACATGAAAAGATGTTTAATATTATTTAGTTTTAAAAAGGTACAGATACAGAGGCAGCTATTTATTATATATTAGCAGTTTAATACGTCTATCAATGCATTTTGGCTGAAGCAGCCCTTTGAGAACATTAATGAGTTTGTTACCCAAAATGAGTTCGACACCCCTGTCCTAAAAGCGTCGCTCTCTCTCGCTCTCTTGCAGCCTGATCGAACATCAGGCATGTCTTTAAGGATTTTGCAGGTTCTGAAGAAGTGATACAGTTGCTAATGTCAATATTTAGGTCATGACACTCTTTCCTTTATTCTTTTTAAAGATGTATTTTCTTCTTCCTGTGCGACGTAGTTCTGCTAACAAATGGCCATAAATATTCCGTTGCACTGTTTCACAGTTGTATTATTTCTGTATGAAGTCCACTAACTTCTTCCTCGTCTCTGATTTGGTGTCTAGGTACTACTCGCTCTCCACGTGAAGGAGAAGTTCCTGGTGTGGATTACAACTTCCTCTCCGTGGAGGACTTCCTAGTGTTGGAGAAGAGTGGAACCCTCCTGGAAATTGGAACATATGAAGGTGAGCTGCAACACCACAGTTTCCTTTACAGGACATCCTGTTGCTAACCTGTTAGGCTTGAGCTTAATGTTGGTTGAATTTGTAAAATCTAAATGCATGAGTTCAAAAATAAACTTGACCACAATTTTGATGTCGAATAACAATTCCTAACCCTTCTGATTTTTTTTTTTTTTTTGAAGAAATTTTTGGCATAATTTTGACATTTCTCCTTTTTAAATCAACTAATACGACCAATCTGAATCTAAAAATATTTCTGAACAATCTTTGTATTTGAATATCCGATGGTCTTGATTTCAAACCGGCCCAACGCTTCTGACCCAGATGCGCACGTGCGCCCAACGCTACTTTTCTGTGACTTTAATCTGCAACCTCTCCATCTTGTCATCCTCCCTCCTTCTTTGTTCCCCCAGGCAACTATTATGGGACGCCCAAGCCACCGGTGCAGCCTCCCAGCGGGAAAGTGATCAGCGGCAGTAGCGGTGGTGATGCCCCACTGTCAGACGGGCTCAGCGGTAGCCTGCCAGGCTCGCAGAACTCCACTCCCCGACGAGCCAAGTCCTACAATGACATGCGAAATGCTGGAATAGGGCTTGCAGATCAGCAACTGGAGGACGACGAGGACCTCCCTGACATGAACAGCAGCTTTACAGGTAACGTGCAGACGAGCAGCGGCGCCGATGTACAAAGCTGGTTTGAACGGGTGAAGACCGTGACATCAGTGAAAGCAGCAGGGAGTTTGTAGGTGTTGCTTTTCTCGGTGAAGTGAGCTCATTCATGTGGTGGAAGATATGTTCGGTTGGTTACACACGGTATGCCAAGGTTTCTAAAAACGTTATGGTCTCAAGCCTGCTGGATGGTTTAAAGCAGTTTAATAGGATGCCAGAGAAAGTACAGAAGTGACCAGTCTCTCTTTTTTTCTTTTTTATGGAGTGTAGAATCACGCCTCGCTGCCTCTCCCTCACTTATTGCTGAACTTTGCAGGTCAGCACCATGAAAGAACTCCATTACTTTTTTCCTTCACTTACAAGAAATACTATTTTGACTATTTGGAAATGTTTCCGATTGCAAAAAAGCACTGTGTTATGATGTAGAAACCAAACAAATTGTGCCTCATCGCTTTTAAAAGGGCAGCGTTATGCGTTTTTCCAGGTTCGTAGTGTCGCTTTATATCACAATCAAACAACTATCACTGTCCATTTTTATAAAAACGCTGTATATGTTAAACATGACTTAAAAGAAATTTAACTTTGAAATTTAGCGGCGTGAAAATGGGCCTCTGTCTCTTTAAGAAGGTTCTTCTCTTTCCAACAATTTTCCTTCAACACGTTGCCACCACAGCATTCCTCAAACAAGACTTTAACAATTTTACCAGCATGTTTTTCTGTTTTTAATTACTTAAATTCAAAATAGACTTGAGTGTCCATTCAGCGTTGAATATTTTTTAGCTCACCAGGAAATTTATCAATAGTAAATATAGATATTATTGAAATTTATCTAAATCAGCTCAGGAATTGTAAAATGCTGCATTTACATGCGATAATCTTTATGTGAAACGTTTTACTACTAGTAATGAGTGTAAGCAGAAGAGTCTGCGTCCACCAGGTCAGAGCTTTTGGACGGTGGTCAGATGGTTTTAATACCAAGAACGCCGTGTGTTTCTGATGACGCCCACAGCGTGTGCTGCACAGAATCCTGATGCTGTTCTGCAGTGAAGCTACAGAGGAAAAAAAAACAAAAACAGAGAGGTCTCGGTACATCCACAGCATGAACACTGATGGTTATTGGTTAAGGCCAGCTGGTGTCTTTTTAAAAACTTGTGTGCAGCTCAGAGAGATGCGAACCGCAATCCACGCAGAATTGGACCTGCGAATTTAAAACCTGTGTTTTATGGTGGCCATGTGGCATAAAGATCAGCATTGTTCTATTTTAGTGAGCTACGGAGTTTCCCAGGTAGACTGCTCGCTAGATGATGTGAATGAACAGACGGGGCTGCATATCTTCCTCACATTGTGAGCGTGGCAGTAGCAAGGCAGCAGAGGAATATCTGAAATCCAGCAACTGTTGGCTATTTTTCTAATGGTGCGTTCACACCAAACACATTACGCACGTCACAAACGCGCCCAGTGCTTCGACTTTGACACGTGTGCACTTTGAATGCAGACACTTGATGGTGCGTTCACATCAAACGTGTTTTGAGCGTCAGGCATCTAGTTTACATTCAAAGTCTATGTGGAGGCACGTCGAGGGCGCGTCAGATGCGTTGAAATCGCTCCAGCCGTCGTTTTCCGTTGCCGGCCTATTTGCCGGACACGTTGGACAAACTGGACGCTTCAAATCTCGCCACACTAGATGCTCAAAACGTGCCTTGAGGGGCCTTCGATGTGCCTCCACATAGACTTTGAATGTAAACCACTCGCGTGACACGTGTTTGGTGTGAAGGCACCATAAGTCTCCAATTGGTAATTTCTTAATTTTGTTTTGGATTTAAAACTAACAACTTTATCAAAGAACCTATGATGTTATAGTCCTTAAAATAAACTGAGTCAGTGTGAGGGATGCTAGACAACACAGCACATGCAAAATGCAGTCAAAGTTTTGGTTTTATTCCACCACATAGTAGTACAGGTACTAGATTGCAAGGAACTGCAGCTCATGCTTGTTTTTGTAAGGCTTCTGTAACTGACACCTTTAACAAACAGACCTGCATGTACTGACCAACACAGCACAGCAACCGGACAATGCCTCCTGTGTCGCTTGCAATATAAGCTTGGGTTTCAACCCTACTTTTTAGGCACTCGTTGCCTTTGGGACAAAGAGGAAGACGAAGAACAGGAGAGCTCACGGGTTAAGTGGGAGGGGGATTGAAGTGAGGTGAAGGTAGCCGGAAATAACAGAGAATGAGGGAGTGACCTGGAAAGGGGGTGGAGGAGGATTGGGCAGGAGGACAAGGGAGAGACTGCCGCTTTGTGAAGAGAGGAATTAGGAAAGTGGAGAACAGATCGTTCTTTGGTATTTGAATGGGTCGCTGGAATGCCACAGCTAATTCCTTGGTAAGTTTCAGCCTTTGTTTCTTATTTTTTTAATGTATTTATTTCTTGGCGGTTCACGAGCACGTAGAAATGTTAAATAGTGCCATCTTGCTGTGAGTTCCAGAAAGTGTGCAATTATGCAGCCTCTGCAATTGAGAAAGCAATTGTCATAAAAATTGTAAGGTTTAATACATAAAACCGTAATGTTGACAGCTGTGCTGCTGGTTAAAAACTGGTTTTTGGGATTATTTATAATACCCCCTAGGATGCTGACTCAGCACTCTTTTGTTTTGTTTTTTTTTGTTTGTTTTTTTGTTGTTTTTTTCCCCCCCCAAAAGGTCAGACCAAAAGTTAGTTGTGAGCCTTTTTGTGATTGTGGGAGCTGTAATGGTTGCTGGTCAAGTGTGAGTGTGAAAATGAGATAACAGGAAGCTAAGTGCTAACAATTCAGAGGCCGTGACTCTAGGTGTGAACTGCCCCCTCAGCTGCCTGACGTAAATCTCTTCAAAGCTTCAGGAAGGGCAGTCAGATTTATTGGACGCCGGAGGTTTGTGACGTGTCGAGAGTATACAGATTCAGTTTTTAGGTGTGAAATCTGAAATAATGTAGGATTCAATGTCTAACTGAAATTATTACTTACTTGTACGGCTGAAATAGTTAATGGTGATTGATGCGTTATTGAAATAATCTTCAACTAATTTAGTAATCGATTTTTAATTAACTGCAGACTTAAAAAGGCCATTTGGTGGAAAATACTACATATATTTTCATTTCACATTTAAGATTAAACACCTTAGTCTCTAAATATGTTTTAGCCAAAACTCCTCAAGTGGTTTAGTTTTAGCTTCATCCTCTTCAGATTCACTAAAGGAATCCTATGTTATTTAGGCAGTGCAATTTTTATTTTCTTATTTAAAAAAGAGATTGGATTATTTATTTGCGACTTTTAACATACTTTTAATATTGTATGGAAAGGCTAAAGTGGCTAAATGAAAAATCAGTCAAATGTGCCTTTTTTATCCAAATAATCAACAGAATAATCAATAGATTGTTTACTAAAATAATTTTTGCAGTCATACTTATTTTGTGGCGTCTACCTGTAAAATTGCACTATGTAATGCAACTGGTGTCCTGCAGTTGTCTGTTCAATAGCCAGTTTTTTTTTGTTTTTTTTTTTATAGTTTTTTTTTTTAAGAGCAGAATGTTACTTGTGGTACTTTTTGAAAATTTTGCATCCAACTTTTATAGAAATATATCCACTTAATCTCACTAACGTGAACGTTTGTATTTGCTCTTTGATCTGACGGCTGATTTAAGTTTAGAAAAGTAAAGAAATCAGACAAAATCGTGTAGGAACCCCAGATAAAGCATAGTTATTTTTGCTTTAAAGGTCAAATCCTTGTTGCGACTTGTTTTCCGTCGCTTCAGGCTGGAAGTGGCCGCGGCCCTCTTCAGAAGTTCACGTAATCACGTCTGCAAAAGCTCTTGTTAGCTGATCGTTTTTGATTGGCCGCATTTTCGTGAGTTTACTGGTCGCTTTGGTTGTAGAGGGTGCTGCTGGTTTGACGAGTGGCTGAGCTGCATTTGTCTCCGTTTCCCACAGGAGAATCCAGTGAATTGGACGAAATTCCTCACTCGGCGCGCCCCTACGTCCCTCGCCACAGCGACCCGTCCTACGCTGAGACAACCCCCTCACCATCGGCCACCACGGAGAGCACACAGCAGACAAACCTTCACCTGAGCCATCCTCCCCCGGAGGACCCGCTGGGACCTCTGCCTGACAACTGGGAGATGGCCTACACCGAGACCGGAGAGGTCTACTTTATAGAGTGAGAAACAAAGGCCTCTCGTTCATTTGAAATATGCTATTGAGTGTGTCTGTCTGGCTCAGTGAAATTGTTGACTCTTGCATTGCTAAAATATTTATATATTCAGCTCTTTGTTTTTGTAAAAGATGTTGTTCAATGCATCACTGTCCACGCCTGAGTTGATTTTAAAGAAGTGCAAAAACAGAGGATGACGATAAAATGCTCGGCACATTCTCTTCTAAAATGGTAACACAAGAGTGTTCATACCCCTTGAACATTTTTTTATGTTTTAACATGTTAAAACCACATACCTCAATATATTTTCCTAAACATATGATGGACAAAGAAAAGTGGAGCACAATGTTTAAGAGGAAGAATGAATCAAAACATTCTTCCACTTTTTAAAAGGCTGAACGCGTGGCATGTACTTGTGTCATCTTACCTCTTTCTGCCCATTCTTCTTTGCAAAATGACCTAAGATCTCTCAGATCTGAGTAAAAGCATCTGTGACCGGAAATGTTCTTGCCAAAGACTCTCATCCTGATTTACATCTGGGATTCGACTGTGCGACTCTCGCACTTTTTGATCCAAATCTGTCATAGTAGCTAAGGCTACCTTGTTGGGGTTCTTCTCCTGCTGGAAGATGAATATAAGACGACGAATCTCGTCTTTGGTACAAGTCAATACCAAGTCTGAAAACTTTTGGAAAGCACTGCAGAATGTAGACTTGCATTGCTTTTCCAAGCTGCACGTCTTATGTGAATCTAAATCCTAATCAGTCAATGGTGATTGACTTTTTAACTTGTCATTGGCGTGTCGGTAAACTTTTGTCTTATGTTTTGCTCAGCCACAACACAAAGACCACCTCTTGGCTAGACCCTCGGTGCCTGGACAAACCTCAGAAACCCCTGGAAGAATGTGAAGATGATGGTATGTGATCAATGGAAGTATTCTTAATTTTTCCCTACCATTATCTAGTTCAGTGCCGGATTCATTGGAAGAAACAACTTGATGATAAAAGACACATTTCACATCATGGTTCATTTCTATGCCATAGATGTATAATCCAGATAGGCTGTTTCCACAGTAACCTTTAGGTGTCAGTGTTGGGCAACAGAAATGAATGGTGCTGCTGTTTGCTTTTTTTTTTTTTCCAGCTTTCTCAGGAAAACAAGCCTTAGTTACTTAAGATAATCCATGCTTCAGGACTTAGAGTTCTCTGAAATCTGTTTAGTATGTTTTCATAAGAAATAAAATGTACAGTTTTCAGTCACATGAACAAGATAAATGTTTAGCCACTGCCTTTATGACAATATTGCCTCAGACAACACATAGATCCGGTCACATGGCAGAAACCCAGCGTGCTGTGTTTTGTAAACAATGGTCATCACATGACTTTGATGGACTGGCTTTGTTTACCTCTTGCCACCAAGTGGCCAGATGTTGCTACTGCATCCTCCTAACGTCTGTTTCCCCCCTCCCTCTCTCTCACCCCCATTCTGTGTCTTCAACAATCCATTGTTCTGAGTAGAAGGGGTCCATACAGAAGAGCTGGACGATCTAGGTAAGAAGTAACACCTGACCTCTTTTATAACTTTTTTTGATTTTGAAGATTTAATTGTTTTTTTTTTTGTTTTTCACCAGTGCATCCTTGGGTTTTCATAGGTCAGAGTAATGTCATCTCGCTTGAGAATCGTTTTTGCAGCTTTTGTTTAGATTTTGAATTTAGGTCAACTCTACAACGGAATATAAGAGTCAGACTAAGAGTTTTTTTAAAAAAAACAAAATTAAAGTTATGATATTAAAAGTATGCAGTCGTAGTAATGTGAGAATAAAGTCTTAGTACAACCAAAATGAAGTCTTAATATTTGTAGAATGAAGTAGTAATTTTATGAGACCTCCAACACAAAAACTAACAACGCAATTATTCATTTTTCAGACGTGGTAAAATTGCGTCTTTATTCTGCTAATACTTTAACAAAATTCTTGTAATTAAACAGACATTTCTGCATTCTGGTACAACACACAGAAGGGATGACTGAAATTAAAGCCACTTTTGGGAAATATTTTCTGTCATTTGTAAAGAAAAATGATTAAAATCAGAAATTGGAGATTTTATTTTCTAACCTTTAATGCCCAACCCTACTCGAGTCTTCTGGTGAGATTAAAAGATGTTTATCAGTAAAGCTGATCGTCCACATCAGCAGTACGTCCGGCGGCTTATTCGTGGTGACTTGACCGTAGGCGGGAAGTGACTACGGCTCCAATCATCTAGAAATGAGACATCGTTCTTGCAGAGACTTGACATTTAACCAGCGTAGCCCCTCGTATGTGGCTCTGACGTTCAGCAAACGCAGCCTGCATGTGGCCTTTTACACAGACTGCATGTGGCCTGCAGACAGACAGACGGACATCAAACGGCCAAACACTCCCACCTCAGCAGGCCGTCGCTCCCTACAGACTGCAGATCCAGAATAGATTCTTCTAATGATGTTTTTTTGTTTAATGGCTCTCTGCATGAGCCAGATGGCAGCAACAGGCCCATCAGCTTTCTAAAATAAAACAAACCTAAATCTCAATCATGACAATCAGTCCACTTGTTCAGAAAAAATGCTTCCTGGATTAAAAACTAACTAGTTATGACTGATACATTTTCCCTGTCTGATTAATGGCTACTTGTTTAAAACATTAGCACCAGCTTTTCTACCATGTGGTAATTTAACTTCATTAATATGCGATTTGTGGGATGTGATTAATTGTTCTATATATGGAACCTTGGAGAACACATCACACCCCCTAATGCTGCAGTTTTCAATCTGAGAGTTGATTTTTCTTTTTCTTTTTAACCTCCCTTACAATCCTGTTTACCATACGTCATTGCTAGATTATTTTTGCTCATTATTCTGCCTTGTTCATCAGAGTTGTAGTTTTTCTTGGTTTAATTCTTGATTAATAAACTTTTCAGTGAGGAGACATTTCCTGACTTGGAAAGATAAACTCATGCTTGAGTTGTATGTTTTTCCTCTTTGATTTAAACCGGTTGGAAATACAAAGTCATGGATAGTGCTTTGAATGTTCCTAAAAATAGTCATCAGTCCTCTAAATTTAAAGGAAAAGATTAATAATAATAATAAACATTTAAAGGGATTGTTTGTAGTTCTTATTTTACTCTTTTGGCTCTTCCCACAGCATATCTTTTACTCCTGTCCTCTGAATCCTTAACCTTTCACACCAATTAATTTGGTCGTTTTAGTTGAATTATCTTTTAAAAATAGCTTCTTAAAATGTTTTTATTTCTTGGTTAAATGAATGTTCCTAATGAAAAGGTGGAATTGATGTAAATCTTTTATTCCTGCAATTAAAAAATGGTTTTGTGCCACATTTCTCACTAGAGCTCCTCATAAAGCAGCGTAAATGTGAATAATTTTACTGATGTGAAATGAGAAATTGTTTTTTTGCATCTGACTTGAAACACGAATCAGATTATCAACAGTTTTTAGAATGACATTAGGCAAAAATAATAAGCCCAGAAACTGCAAAGCTGGTATGAATGCAATCAAACACAGCTAAAAAAAAAAAAAGAAAGTTCACACATGCATAATACACCCACAAGGACGAGTTCTTCTCTGTGCCACATTCCTCACTCAAGAGGCCTCAATCAACGTAGCGTATCAGGAGAATGAGATGCAAACAGTTGGAGATGTAATTCACCGAGCTCGGTTCTCCCCCTCGCTTTGGAAAGCAGGATGTGGGAAGAGGGACAGAGGGTGAGAGGAAAAACACAGCCTAATGAGTGACACGTTTTTTCTCTCTCTGCCTCTCTCTCATTTGTGTTTCCACACACGCAGATGTATCCTATCCCTGTCAGAAGCTAGCAGCACCAGGCATCGTCTACTCTGCAGTCTCACACATCGTCACCACAAACACACACACACGCACACACACACACACACGTATAGCCATACACAGGTGCAGCTTCTGGAGCAAAACTAGTGCAGTGTGAAATCAAGTGGGTGATTAGAATTTAGCGCGAGGTGAGGCGGGACCACAATCCATTTAACGTTCCAGTTCAAAACATTTGAATAAAATAATTCACAGCCACCACAGCTTCGCTCTTGGAGCAGCAGCATCTCTCTCTCGCTCTCACTCTTGCACACATCTTGCATTCCTTGAGCTTTCTGCATCAGCTGCATGTGGAGAATGGTGAATAATGAGCTAATGTTTACGCATGCTAAATTACCAACCCTAATTGCTGATTGTACAGAGAACTAGGATACAAATGCTGTCCTGTGTGTCATCTAGAGAAATTTTAGAGATCAAAGTATTTTTATAGTGTTGCAAATTTCTATACATTTTGAGGTCCTATTTGAACAGCACAAAGCGGTGCATAAGAGGATGGAAAATTAAATGTTTTTCTCAAGATTCCATCTGGCCCCCTTTGCCCTTGATGACACTGAATAAAACCTAGTTAAGCTGATGAATTATTGTTAACTTGAGGGAAGAATAGTAGTTTTTAAGCTTTTTCAAACTTTAGAGTGTGAAAGGTCTGGCATGCAACCTTAACTAGGATATATAATGAGAAAATTGGAAGAGCTAAATGCAGGAGGTAACCTGTTAGATGCTACTAAGATTTGAGACTGTGTTGGAGACATGCCCTTCAGCAGAACAACGATCCTAAAACGTATAGAAAGACCTAAAATATAATAATTTAGATCAAACAACAGAATGGTCTAGTCAAAGTCAAAGCCTATTTCCCAATTAGAATCTATGGTAAGACTTGAAAATTGGTACTCATAACAGCAACCAATTGGGCTGGACTGACGGTATTTTAGAAGCCTGGGTAAATATTTCTGTCTCTATGGCGACGTTCGCACAGCAGTCTGAACGGCCCTGTCTCGATCTTTCCACCCCCTAACCCCCAAAATAAAATGACATCTGTGCCTCTTCCATTCTTGGTGCTAATTTGGATATGTATTTGATAGTTTTAAAAGCCTTTTATTTGATCAAATATTCACGTCATCGACGTGAGACTACACATCGAAACAAACTTCTCTACAGAAGCTACAGTCGATGCTCCACAAAAACCCGCTCCTGTGTTAGTTGAGCTTTCTTTTTTACCAGCTTCTTCCATTGCCTGATCTTGTGATGATACTGTTGGCTCCCGTCGCTAAATAAATGTTACAATTGATGGCGTTCATCACTTCAGTAAACGGTGCGCTGCTGTGTGACCTCATTGTTGTTCTTCAGAGCATGTAGGTCACCTTAGGGTCATAAGGCATTCACACAGAAGCCCGATTGTGGTTGCTTTTAATCAGTAGTATGAATGACTACGCAAAAAAAAAAAAAGTATTTCAGCAAAAAATGTGACTTAAACACCAAGACCTGCTGTGTGAACGTAGCCCAAATGTACAACTCTAGTTGAAACAAACTCCAAAAGACTTACAGCTGTAAAAGCAGCGAGAGTTTGCGCTTGCAGCATGTTGAAATGTGAAAGTTCAAGGGATATAAATTCTTTAGCGAGTCGCTGTACTTCTTCTGTTAATGGCCTCACTCCCCGGCTGCAGCAGAGGGCCTCCAAATTGAACAGCCAGACAGTGGTTCCGAGTCAGACGGTTGTTTGTAATTAATGCCCACTTGCAAACAGGAGCAAGTGTCACAAGTCGAGAGTTATCGAACAATGTGTTTTTGGAGCCATTTAGAAGCCTCTGAAATTAGCTTTTGTGGGTGGATGGCTGACAATGATGAGTGCAGCTGTGATCGGGGCTGTGAGAGATAAATATTGTACTCATCGCAAAGAGACTGAATTACTGGAACATAATTCATGCCGGACAATGACATGCCACAAAGGCAATCCCATTCATGTTTCTATTATGCTAAAAGTTCATGCTGCTGTTCTGAAGCAGCATCTGAAGTGATTTCTGATGCTAGAAATTCAGTTTCCAACCTGGAGGAGATGGATCTTTTGGTCCCGCTTCCAATTCGGTGTGTTTGTATTCAAGAGAACGCCACAAACTATAAAGTGGTAAAGATCAATTCAAAAGCGTGTGATAGTCGCACTGTCCTGCAGCTACAGATAGGAAGGAGACGTCAGATAAAAATGCATGGAATTTAGCCGAGAAGCTCCAAAGTCGCAGTGCTTTTCTGTTCAAGCCAAGGACAGCTTTACATGAATGCACCGTTTGAATTAGAGGTATGTGCATTTATAAAATTCCTCATTTATTAAGCACTCAGTCACACGTAACGGCAAACTCGAATCTTTTCAACTCAACCTTTTTTTTTTTCCGTCTGTTTTTGTACACCGGTTGCAAATCCTGGATTATTCCATCCGCTTCCACTCCTTTTTTTATGCCTTCGCCTGCTTCCTGCTTTCTTGTTTTTTGTTTTATCCTTTCCTGCTTCCCCTCCTCTTTTGGCTCTGCCGCTCTTCGACCCGTCTTGCTGGGGTTTTTTTTCCCTCTCATCTCCGTTCCGTCGCTAAGCCTTTCATACGTCTCTGCCCATGGGGTCCAGCTGTGCTCTTATCTGATGTGCGGAAATGTCAGCAGTGAGAGGTGACGGAGGTGAGGAGGAGAAGGACGACCTGCGATCCTGCCGAGCCGCTGACGGATTTCAAATTATAGGCGCGTCTCAATTCATGAGAATAACATCGAAACGTACACTTATTCCAGCAGTCTGTATGTAAAAAGTCAAGTTTATTTGTACCACACATTTTAGCAACAACTCAGTTCAAAGTGCTTTACGCAATAAAAACACAATGCAGTAACCGAAGCAAGTAATAAACGTTACATTTTGTCAAACTCCATGTTTGAGCATCTCTTTCTGGAGGTTTATTCCAAAATTCAGCTTAAAGGTTTAGTTTATGACAGATTGCTTTAATAAGCGACTCTCGCCTGCAATTTTTTGTTTTCATGATCTAAAATATTGAAATATTTTAAAGATATTAATATCAATGTAAATCCCCCTCGATGAAGAGCATTACTGATGAAAACAAACGTTTCTGATTTTGACTAATTTGTTGAGCTGTCACTGTAAAATTGGGTCGAAATGACTCCAGGTTCCTGACAGCAGCACTGGATGCTCTGGTTTTGAGACTTGGGGCTCATCAGGAAAATCAGGGTTTATGGACGAATAAATCAGTGCTTGTTTCATGATGATGTTGCCCAACAGTGATGATTGAATCCAAGCCTTCCTGCAACTTTATGTTGTCCTCATCTGCTTGGTCCTCTTTGTGTTTTGCCTTTACAGAACTTCCTCATGGATGGGAGAAAATCGATGATCCAGTCTACGGGGTCTACTATGTTGAGTAAGTCACACGCTGTATGAAGTTTGCAGATAGACATTTATGAAAAGAAATCAACTGAAGGCCTCGTCTAGCAAATGTTTCTTCTCGGGCATAAAAGACGAGTGTTCCCGTTTTTAGTCCAACAAGCGAAACTCTTGACCTCACTGTAAATCTGAGCCTACAGTTTTGTTTTCCGTCAATTTCAAGCAAATTGTGCCTCGGCTTTTTCGTGATGCTTGAATGTAGGACATTTCTGTTTGTGCCACTACCATTTGGGAAAATAAGCAACAATTGGGTTTACGTGTGTGTGTGTGTGTGTGTGTGCGCACCTTGTTCATTTTAGACAGCGTGGAGCTGCCGGCCCTCTGCATTAATACAAATATGCTCAGTGTGTATTTGATGTCGTTCAAAGCAGCATGGGAGCTCGGGGATGTGGCATCATTTTTATTTATTTTTTGTCCTGCTTTGTCAATGCAATATATTTTCTTATATACATTATTCACAATTGCTCTCATTTGCTTCATAATAAAGTGCTTTCGGCTGCTGGGCTCCTCCCAGGCATGCAGGATGATGTGAAAGATGTTCTGTGAATTAAACCTTCAGAAAAGGCTTCGACTCGAACAGTTTTTCTAGTAAATACATTTCCAGTGGAGCTGTTGACATAAAACTCTCACCAGATGTCAGTAACGGCTCAAATAATTCACAAATGTGATGCATACAAAAATGTCCGTTAATCAAGATGTGCAACGTGGAATTGGAAAATGAACAAACCTTATGAATGGATGCCTTTCTATGGGAGATGGCAGCTTGAATGAGATTCCTGTAGGGTAAAAACAGTCACATTAATTGGCCAGGTGTAATTTTGATCCATTTTTCCCCCCACTGCATTTTCAAATGTTAAAGGTTCTGGAAACTTCTTCCACACTCTGTTTTCAATTGATGTCAAGTTGTGAGAATGACTTGGACTTGGTCATTCACGTAGCTTTCCGTTTTCTTTTTCCTGTTAGTTTGTTTGGGATCATTGTCTTTCTGAAGAAAAACGCTGGTCGTTTCATCTTCAGATTCTTGTCAAGAATGCCCCTATGAATTTCCCCATTCATTCTTTGTTTAATTTTATGAAGTCTGATGGTACCATTTGCTGTAAAACAAACCCACACCAGGATTCTCGCTTCCAAAGTTCACTATTTGTTTGGGCAAAAAAAACGCATCTAAAAAGCCTATTTTTGAATGTATCTGCGCATTTTATAAGCCAGTGCTTCTTGGACCTGTCCAAATGTTATGCAATAATCTTTTTCTTCAAGAGTCGAGTATTGTGCGGTGAGTTTGCATAGAAGCCACTGAAGTTATAACGCACCTATCTGCAAATCCCGGCTCTTTATAAATCTCTTTGCGGCTGTACAAGGCTTCTGATTATTCTTTTGACTTCGCTGTCAGAAATCTTGCAAACAGCACCTGGTTGTGGCTGGTTAATGGTGAAATGATGTTCTTTCCATCCCTGGAAAATGCATTATTTAGCAACATTTACAAGATTAGAAACACCTTTGCAACAGTAAGGTAATGTTTGAGTTGCCTTGTAATGAGAAGCCACCTGATCTTAATTTGCAGTAATGATGGGGAAGGATTGCTTTCTGAACACCGGCAGACTTCAGATAACCTCATGGCTTTCTCTGCCTTTTACATCTCATTTTTTCTTCATGTGTTCAACATTTACCCGAATACTAACTTTAGTTGTTACTAGGCCTTCATAATATCAAGAGAACATGCAATTGCAATACAGTCGCGGAATATTAAGATGCTGACATCATTTGCAATCAAACCAAATTTTCTTCAGTGTCCCGCTACTTTTGCTTAGCTTTAGCAGCTTGGTTTCTAAAGGTATTTATCAAGCATGACTGTCGAGAGAAGTTGGATTTTATTCAACGGGTGAAATATTTTATTGGCAAACAGAATTTGAATGTGTGGTAATTCAAAGACATCATCCTGCCTAAATTTTATTTCTAAGCTGTGAACATGTTGAACATATTGAATTTGTTATCCCAGTTTGCATTAGTCGTCACCAACATCTGGTGGGAATGTTGTCAACTTTACCATTAGAAAAATATTTACTGGGAAAAACCTATTTGATTTAAGAACAACTTTCCCTGCCAGACATGTAGAGTTTTGTTGGTGTAACTTGGTTATATACATTTAAATAGAGGACTCTTACAGGTGCATTTCTAATGTGCTTTGATTTATTAATCAGGATCTTATTGCCTTGTCTTCCCCCATGCCTTCCTTCTTCGGCCCTACCTGGCTCTATTCTCTGTCCTCCCGCTGTTCTCTGCACACCTGCCAAATTTTCCCGTTTGTTTGTTTGTTGTTGTTTTTTCCCCTCCCCCTTAAATCCATTCCTTCTGCATTCCTCATTTCTCCCCGTCCCCTTGATCCACAGTCATATCAACAGGAAGACCCAGTACGAAAACCCGCTGCTGGAGGCTAAGAGGCGCAGGCAGCTGGAACAGCAGCCCGCCCAGCAGCCTCAGCCCCAAAGCCAGCAGCCACCTGAAGGTGAGCGCTACATCCGAGGTTCGTTCACAAGCCCCCGCCAAGGGGCGTCATTTTCTTTCTTTAATATTCATGTTTACGCCTGCGTTGCCTGTGTTTGAGTGTTCGTACCAGCTACTGCTATTTTTTTATGTGATGCCGCCTGCTACTGCCGTATGATTTGCTAAGCGCTGTCCCATAAAGGCATAACTATGATTTGCGGCTGTGTGGCGCAGCCTTTTATTTCAGTTCATTTTGGATTTCTTTGTTGCGTTTGCCTCATTTGCTGCGTTAACTTGAAGCTTCTCTCCTAGGTGCGAAACACAAGTAAGTTTTGACTTCTGCTTCAAATAATAAGCCTCGCATTTGAAATGTGAACGTAGCTCTTTTGGAACGTAGCTCTTATCAAACGAAGCTACCGAACTCGGCCAGTGTTGGGAGGCTGTTTCCGCATTCTGCTTCTCACGTTTTGTGCACGCATAGGAAACCCCACCGAGGAATTGATTTTAAATGCAGGTCAGCCCACGAGGGAGTTCACTTATCACACCCCGCTGTGCGCTCACCCAGCAGAAAACATTAGATTCACCTCAATTACCTGCTGACTTTTACTCTACTCTAGAAAAAAGCTCCCTTCATGCAGAGTTTTACTCATTTTGCACCCTTTTACAGTATTGATTATATCTCTCCACTGAGAATAGACATCAAGGTTTCAATCTGATCTTTCCAATGCTGAAATAACAAGGCAATAAATCACATACAGCCGCTGAAATGAATTCAACAGGAAGCTTGTAGGACCCGCTCAAACTGCTACTGGTCAATTTGGCTTTTTTCCAGTTGGAACTTCATTTCTCCCTACTTCCCTTTCAGACCTGTAAATAAACAGTTTCCTGCCCATGTCGCATCGATTTTTTTTTTTTTTTTTTCCCTTGGTAGAGTTTTTTTTATTTTATATATATATATATAGCGGTAAATAGTCATAAAACTGCTTAAATGCCTTGTGTATTCAAAAGTACATTATTTTCTAAGCACTTTATGGAGCCAATATACCTTCAAGCAACCTCATGCTGTTTAGGGTTATTTACTGAAGTCATAAAACCACACTGCCTTGTTGGAAACTGTGTGCGCAAGCTAGAAAATTACTTTAAATTGTCAACGGAGGATGTGAAACATCTACCTGGTGGGCATGAATTTACTCATGGTCGGTATGAAATATCGTCAGTTTTATCAAAAAGTCAGGTGCAAAAGAGCAAAGGTAAAGACATGGCAAAAGGGTGCAATGAACCAGCATCAGGTCGAGCTGTGCTCCATTTCGAGCTTTTTAACTCCTTCGTTTTCTCAGTCAGCTTCATAAGAGTCGTATCTTGTCCTGGAGCCGAACAAGCAGGAATCGCTATCCTCCTACTTATTCCCCCATCTAGAGAACATGTGATGTGTTTTGCTGTTGCAGAGTGGATCGAGGACTCGGCATTGGCAGGCGCTCCCCTGGCCACCTATGCCGCCAACCACGAGACGTACAGGGACCCCCAGACGGGTCCACCCGTACCCAACGCCATGGGACAAAAACGTAAGTTCTGTTCCGTAGAAACAAAAAGGTGCGCTCATTATCTTCTCCCATTCTCTTACCCTGAGCAACCTATTGGGTGCTAAATAAGATTTAGCTCCTGCTGTCATTTCTTTCTGCCATTGCCTGAGACTATGTTCTAGATTTCACAATGAAAACCCAGAAACTCTGAAGCCATTTCATTTATTCTTAATCAATACGGCGAGGGAGGGGTAGGGAGACTTTATCGCATTCAAAATATGCAACGAGGTACATTTTGTACGAGTGAGCACTCGAAACGGAGTTGAGATTCTGAGGAGACGTCCTTAATATAACCGTGCTCTGTACGGTTTTGTAATGTTCCATGTTCAAATCAAATAATGGCCTGATTTCACCCATCGTTTAGTGATGCACACACCTCCAGCTGCAGCAGGTTTCCTTCTCAGTGTTGCCAGCTCCTTTCATGCCAGCCTCCCACTAGCAGCCTGTCTAATTAGCCCAGTCATGGCTTAGAATTAACTGCCTCATTCTGGAGCTCCCCTTTTACTCTCCGTAGCCTCTCCGTCGGGTGTCTCTGTCTTTTGTTGATCTTTGTTTTATGGCTCCCTGTCTTGCTGGGGTTTTTTTTTTCTTCCTACCTTCCCTCAGTTTCTCTTGTGCTCCAGTCCATAATTCCCGTCTCGCTCTGAGCCCACTCGTTTGTCTCCTTGTCCAAGACCGTCGTACCCCTATGTTATTCTGCCAGACAAAGAAATCATTTAAAATCTCTTTATCTGACTCCCTGAGTTCATGTTTTTTCCCCCTGAGTCTTGGTCTATTCCCTGATGTGAATATATCAGCTGACAGTTTGGCTGTTGCTCTCCTTTTATAAGAAATAATGTTATATAGTTCCCCTGCGCACAGACATGCGTTCACCACAAAATGTCAAACAGAAGGACACAGCTGACTCAAAGGATAATGTATTTTTCATCGTTTGCATAAACTATGGTCCTGCCGAAACAGTGTTGTACTGTTGATTGCTTAACATGCGTCTCTCTGTTCCCTCTCTCCACCGACGTCTTGCCTTCTTTTTTGCTGAAATCCATTTGTCAGAAGCAGATGAAGTAACATGTTGGATGTAATCTTTCATCACATGGAGCTTAAATGTTGTTTAGTAGTAAAAGATGAGGCTTTATTCACCAAATCTCATTCAGTTCAATTCAGAAATACTTTATTCTGAAATTAAATGCTTTCACTCATGTCATCCAAGTGTCCTCAGTCATTTTGGATGGTGACGCTGTAGGCAGGACGGCTCTCCAGTAGCAGTCAGTCTTGCAGTGAATCTGAGGAGGCCTCTGACTGAAGATTGTTGCTGTAAGACAGCTTCATGACTTTCATGACGTGCCAACAGCTCAGTTTCCAGGCAGCAGAGACAATATTCCACAGTGGCGTGTCCTGATGTCCCAAGCACAGCTAATCCACCTCATTTGCTTTTGCCTCTTCTCTTCAAGTCTCTGGCACAGCTTAGAAACCAGAAGATGTTGGAGTCCAGTATATCGCTCTTGCCCTTTAAGATCAATGGGAGAGATGACTTGAACTTCCTCCTTCTCTTCCTGCTCTTTGCTCCTGCTCCGTATCCATGAAGCCTCCTTTTCACCTCCTCTGGAACCTTTTTTTAAAGAAAAATGTATAACACAATCAACCGTCTTTTAGTAGAAACAGACTTGTTATAAATTGTGCAAAAATATAGAAGCAAAACTGTCAAATTTTAGTTGTTGTTCTGTTCTAAACGTGTTTATTTTTGTAAAATAAATTCTGCTGTTTATAGAGTAGCACAGGGAGTCTGTGGCGTCCGTTTGGACTGGCTATTGGTTGTACTCGGCAGCTTGAAAACCCTGACCCCCACAGCTTTCTAATTTGAGATCTAAAACACACTGTCCGTGCTTGCATGACTAGAACATCTTCAGAGATTTTCCGCAATTCGTGACTGGGACTTTGCAAACATGTGGAAGAAGGTGCTACGTTCGGATAAGACCAAAACCTGACGGGTTTTTTTTTTCTGTTTGGACCTAAAAGTAAAACTTTGCATGTGGCATAAAAATCTTAAACGCAACAAACTCGTAATGAAACAAAGAGGTGGCAGTATCACATTATGGGGGAAGGCTCTATTCAGCAGGGAGAGGGAAGCTGGTCAGAGTTGAGGAGGATACCTTGAGCTACGCATCTCCTAGCAGGACACCCTTAAACACATGAAGGAGTCTGACTGGCAGTGCACAGCAAAAGATGGAGGGAGTGTGCTACTCTCTGCTTAATAGTGCTGATACTTTTCCTGCCACCTCATTAAAAGGACCTAAAACTGCAGGATTACTAAAGAGGAACATTTTAGCGTCTGTCGGCACAATGCACCTATTCAAGGATTATTTTCTTTATTTCTTCACAATAAGAGTCTCTGACTTATTTTGCCAGATAAAGTCTTCTTCTGGTTGGCAGCGTTACAAGGCAGATTTATTCTGGCATCATATTACCAGATCTCATGCCAGGGGTTGTCCTGGCTATTTGTTATTTGGATCAGGCCTACTTTAAAAGAGTAATCACGTCAGGCTAAACAGACAAGAAGCAGAAAAACAGCTTGGATTTGTTCCATTACCCACACCTCTATAATGCTTCGCCAAAAGAGCGCGTTGACTGTAGGCAGACAGCTTATGGGAGAAGCTTTGGCACGGCTTAATCAAAAAGGATATACTTAAAACCTTGTGTTTGCAGGGAGGCCGACGTTGAGTGTCATTGTGTTTGGCCAATGCTAGCAGACGTAGACCACATTTTAAGACTCTAGCAGCTCTCTAAAGGATCCACACCAAATCCTGTTAGGCCTAATTGAGTTTGTGTTTTTTCACATGAGAGTAATTAAAGCAGCATTATCTTTGTGTTCAGGTGGGAAGCCTTTCTTTACTAGGAACCGTTCAGAGCTGAACGGGACCTTCATCAATACCAAACTGAAGAAGAGCCGTCGAGGGTTTGGGTTCACCGTTGTTGGAGGGGACGAGCCGGATGAGTTCTTGCAGATAAAGAGTTTGGTTCTGGATGGACCGGCAGCCCTTGATGGGAAGATGGAGACAGGTTGGTGCCGTTGCGTTTATTATTTGCGAAGAAGGGGAGAACTGGTTCCGTTTCAGTCACTACACGCCCTCTTTCTCTCCACCTCGAAGGGGACGTGATTGTGAGCGTAAATGACACCTGCGTGCTGGGCTACACGCACGCCCAAGTGGTGAAGATCTTTCAGTCCATCCCGATCGGCTCCATGGTCAACTTGGAGCTGTGTCGCGGCTACCCACTGCCTTTCGACCCTGATGACCCAAACACCAGCTTGGTAACCTCGGTGGCCATCCTCGATAACAAAGATCCCATCATCGTCAACGGCCAGGAGGTCACAAGCAGCTACGACTCTCCATCCAGCCAAGGAAGTCAGAGCACCAACGGCCCAACCAACGGCGGACCGCCTCTCAATGGCTTCCCCCGACCTCACAGCCCCTCCACCGAGGTGGCCTCCGATACCTCCTCCCAGCTCGGATACTCTAGTGACGTGGTAACCCTGGCGTCGTCCATCGCAACGCAACCAGAACTCATCACTGTACACATGGAGAAAGGAGACAAGGGCTTTGGCTTCACTATCGCGGACAGCCTTGGCGGTGGAGGGCAGCGAGTGAAGCAGATCGTGGACTACCCTCGCTGCCGTGGCCTTAGGGAGGGGGACATCATCATCGAGGTGAACAAGAGGAATGTGCAGAGCATGTCTCACAACCAGGTCGTGGACATGCTCAGCAAGTTACCGAAAGGCAGCGAGGTCACCATGCTGCTGCAGAGAGGTGAGCAAATGCCTGATCTTTATTTTTCTTACACATATACATTTGGTCTGTGGATAAGCTTCCAGGCTGTGTTTAAACTCATCAGCACAGATGGAAGTGAGAAAGCCAGAGCTGAGATCTGTGGCAGGCTCTGATTTATGTGCCCATATGCTAGAGCGCTCCAAAAAATAATGAACCTTTGCCATGAACGACTGCTCAATGCTATTGACGAAAATAATAGCCTTCTGCCTTACAGGCTGTTTTCACTCACAGAGCTCCTTTATCGACACACACATTTATTTATTCATGCAAACAGACATTGTTGGGGAAAAAAAAAAAGATTGGATTGCGAACAAGGCAAAATGGAGAGCGCAGTGATTATGGTAAGGAGGACAGGAAGGAGTACTAGAGGAAGTTCAAATAACATTTGAGGAAATGAATGATCATGGAGAGGATGAGGTGCTCAGTGAATGGCACTGACGAAAAGATTATGCAGTGTCTGGCAAAATTATTCACAACCCTTGATTTTTTTTATTTATTTTGCTGTCATATTAAAACCATAAATGACAATATTATTATATGTGGATTTCATTTTGTGACAAACCAACACACAGTAGGGCTTGGTTGTGAACTTAAGAGAAAAAGAATACATTGTTTTCATTTTTTTTTCCCACCCCCAAGTAAAAACCAGAGGGTGGTTTGCCTGTTTATTGTTGAGCCATAAGGTGTAGCTTCTACTCTTTTGGGGTATTTCTCTGTCAGCTTTGGATGGCTAGAGACATTCCTCTTCATAAGATATTTCAACTTCAGCCACGTTGGACAAAATATGTCTGTGAAGAGCAATTTTGGAGTCTTGCTACAGATTCTCAATTTCATTTAAGTTTAGGTTTTGACTGGGCCATTCTACCACATGATCTCAACAACCCAAATGGCCATAAATACAGCTATTTATGGCATACTGGAGTTCTGATTGTCAATACCAGACTGCCAACTACAGCCTGCACATCTTTTCCTACCACTTCACTTTTGTGTATTACCTTGCGTTGGTCTGTTTTAAAATAAAAAGACAATAAAATACAAAGTTTGTATCAGTGTAGCAAAATGTGAAAAAGCTTAAGAGGTCTGGATTCTTCTGCAACGCAGTGTGGCTGACCTGAAATGGAAACGGCAACGTTAGAAGAAGGAGGGTTTGAAGTGTAAAGAGGGGGGGGAAAAAAAGACCTAAAGCGCTGTGGTGTTTCAGGTCAAAGAGCCTGAATATCCTCTCCTGTTGTTCTTACTCTCTCACACCAACCTTATCTGTCTCCACAGATGCCCTCTACTTCATCCCTCTCCGCTTTGTTTGCCAGTTGACAACCTGTCTAGTTTATTTTGAGCTCTCTCTGTGCCCATGTTAGAGCAAATGGCTTTAAAGATGCAGCCAATTGGGTTAGGGTTTTCTTTTTTCTCTTTCTTTCTTTTCTCTACACCTACCAGGCTTCACTTTGAGCTGAAGTCTGTGGCATTTTGCCCTTAACATAAATTTTCCAAGTTCTTGAGCCGGTGTCAGTTCTTTGCAAACAATACAGCAGCATGTGAAGGATTCTGCTCAAGTTGCACCACTCACGGCTTTTGTTACGGCCACTGATTGACAATCATTGTTGTGCCGGAACACCAAATGGGAACAAAGCAGCAGTGAACAAAGGATAAAAGTGCAATAACCGAATTTCAGCATTTCCCATCTGGTCCCTCTCAGACATACCGGTCAGTAATACCAGTATTGGTACCATTTTCTAGGTCAGATTGTCCCCAACTTGCATTTTAGCCTATTCATTGAAGGAAGAAAACAGTTGTTTTTTTTCTGTGTGCGCATGCATGGGTAATTTACAACCTCTGCAAGGTGATGTAGGTAAAACTGTCTGAGAAAATTCATCAAGTGAATAGCAACCACAAATGATATCTCACTATAAACCTATGCCTTTGTGTTACTCTCTCAATGTTATACCTGTATCTACATAAAATCATCCATTCAGTCACTTGCTCATTGTCTAGCCTCTTGATATGTGGCCAAGAAGAGAAAAAACAACAATACAAGTCCTCTTCTCCTTGCATTTGTTAATGAGCATCATGCCCTCATCATAATGCACACAAGCCCATAAAATAGTACAATCTCGCCTTGTTAAGGGATTTAAACTGTGCCTGTAAAACTGGTTGGACCTTAGTTTTTGCTGGAACTGTCCTTTATGGACACAAACTGACTTTAGCTGAGAAATATCAGAGTTTAAAATGAATATGGACAAATGACAAAAAAAAAAAAAAAATGGACCGGCGATCTAAACAGCCTTTTGATGCGTGTATTCTTCAACCCTGTTTACTGTTAATGAGGAACAAGAAGAGAAGCGAAACAGACATAAACAGCAAATATGTTTGCTTGTTTGCCGTCGAGGAGATTAATAAGAGAACATCAGTCTGCACTTCTCTCGTTTGCACAGTTAAACACCAAGTCCTGCTGATGAAGTGCTCAATTCCTTCGAACAAGCAGTAATGAGCGAGCCATGATAATTGGAACACTTCAGCGTCGACATCTTCCTTATGCAGACGTTGCTTGTCTGCCTTCGGTAAACACCATTGTCTTCGTTTGCTACTGCTATGCCAGATTTGCACGCAATTTTTGGACGAGTTGAGAAATGTTATATCATGACCGCCCCAACTCTGAGACGCCATATGCACGCCACAACTTCAAAATTTACTCACTTGACAAATGCAGCAACTGGGAAAATGTAACTTGATCTTGTGTTGCGCTATGCTGGAAACCTGTCTGCATTGATGAAGAGTGACTCACCTCAGCATGCCAAAATCTTCAGCTGACAACAGCCTATTGTCTATTTTTGGATTAATTCAGCTAATTTTTATAGGATTGGACATTCTTCCCCA